TTGACATATTCTAAACTAATTCTTAAAGTATAAGAATAGCTTTTAGAAAGCACGTTTCTCAAGTTAATTCATAATTAATATATCTCTTAGCATATACTAGAAGAATAAAATATGCCATTTCAAAAAAATTAGAAAGCATCTAAAAAAAGAGATCTATACCACTTAATTATCTAAAATTATTTAATTTTTATTTTAAAAAATAATCTATTATATGAAAGTCTAACTTACTGAATATAATTAAAATTTTAATTCTATTTCAATTTGTTTTAACCCCTATATATTATAAAAAATAATATTCAATATTACATTAAAAAATTGGAAAAGAAAAAAGTTCAAGATCTTAAAATGGAATCTTTTAAGTTAATAAAACATTTATAACACATTTTTAATTCTTTCTATAATTTTTCACAATTACTAATGCTTATATAGACAAGTTTTTTATTCTAATATTTTATATCTTTTATTCATTGAGATTTTCTATTAATGAAACTTTAGATTACCATTCAAATATATTATTTAAAATTAGATACTATCAAAAAGTGCCATGTTGTAATATTATATTTTGGTTAGAATATTATTTTTTTATTTTATTTTTATATAATATGCAATAATTATCTAAATCAAAAAATCGATAATTATAAGCTTTTTTTATATGTTTTTTCTTCTACATTTAAGAGAAAAGTCAATGATAATTCTTCATTGTTCATGAAAATTATCTATGTCTTCATCAATTGCTTTCCATTTTATATATATATATATATATATATATATATATATATATATATTTTAATCCAATTTATCAAAAAACACTTAAAAGTCCTTATGCACTATATATTTTGTAAAAAATATATATCTTTTATATTCTTAATAGTCTTTTTTATCATACATATCTTGCAAGAATAGTTAGAAAATTAATTTATGGGTTTCTATTTTTAAAAACATATTTATTTAATATAATACTTCATATCTTCCAAGAAATTTTATAGTTTAAAAAAACATGATATATTCAAAATGTTTTGTAATAAAAACTATATTTTAAGATCTTAAGATTATAAAAATTAAATTATCTATCTTGTAATCATAATATTTTTGTTTTTATTTATTTTTACTTAGCCCTTGGCATTTAAAAAATATAATATTTATTATCTAAGTTTTATATTTTATTATTATTAATATTAGAGATTTTTAAAATATGCCCATTTATTTACTAAATAAATCCACTCATCCTAACCATCATGACAAAATTTTGTACTTTTGCATCTAGATTAGTCAAATATTAATGAATAAAATGATTGGATTTCAACCAATGATTATGGATAGGTTGATTTGGTAAATTTTTGGGTCAATTTAATAATTTCCTATTACTATTATTATTAAAATAACATATATATATATATATATATATATAAAAATTAACCATGATTTAATTTGTAGAAATATGTAGGTGTATGGTTATTAAATTGCAACTAATAATCTATTCTATATTAACATTTTTGTGTTATTTTTTTATTGAAGTAGCAATAGAATTTTCAACCTTTAATTTTAATTGTTATGCTGAGGATCTATGCTTAAGGATTAACATCACAAATTAATTCTTAGAGCCTAATAGCTATCATAGTGCTATTTAATCCCAACCTCTACAATTCTAATAAGAGTAAGAATTTCTTGCATAGTGATTTGGATAAGTTGGTGTCTTTTTTTGTTGTATTTTATTTTATTTAAAAAAAATAGTGTGTTCAAACTACATGACATCAATACCAAATCTTATGTTTCTACTTCATTCTTGGTTAAGAATTTTTATATTAGCTAAGAATTATATATTATCATTAGTTTTAGATTATGTAGTTACAGTCTTCTGTTTAAAAAAGTATTGAAAATAATTATCTTTCCATAAAATAGGTATTAATAGTGCTAATATAGAAATAAACATCTTGTATTTTAGCTATTAAAAAGATCTTAGATAGATTTGATTTCAATGTCTTGTATATACTTATCATTCTATTTTGATTTTCAATTTTTTTTCTATTGTTGTTTTTTCTCAAGAAATTTATTATACTTTAATATGAAATAAAATTATCTATTTTTCATTAAAATCATTATTATTTTAAAAAAATTCACTCACTTTGTATTTATCAAATCTAAAAATATAAAAATATATACCCGATTGATCTATTGAGTTATAAAATTTGTAATTTAAGATTAAATTTGTCTTCTTCTAAACTATGTATACTAAATTTCATTTATTTTTACAATTTTATTTTATAAACATACTAAATCTGTCAATCAAAGAACATAGGGTAATATAAACCACATATTTTCTTTGTATTATAAAAAATTAAAAATATTAGATTGCATGCTAAGATAGAAAAATGTATATTTTATATAATTCAAATGGATTTTTTTGGATTGACCATTTTAAATAATAGTTTGTAAATAAATTTTAAAAAGATATAAATTATTATGCATTTGAAAATTTATCCACTATATGTAATGTCAAATGCTTTTTGGAATTTACAAACTTTTTTTAATAAAATATTTTATACGAAAAATTCTTATTTTTTTCTAATTGAAGTTTACAATTAAAGTAAAGTATAGATGCAAAGGCAAAAATTTAAGGTATTTTTTTAAAAAATCTACATTTCTTGTTTTGTGTGGTTTAAATGTTTTTAAGTATTCTTTTTAGTGGATATATATATATATATATATATGTACATATATCAGACTTATGTGTGTCAAGCTTTTCTTAATTTTGAATCATTAGAAACATTTTAAAAAATATATACATTATTATATTATTTTTTCTTCAATAAATTTTCTTAGTAGATGAGAATAATTATTAAATCTATACTTATTTATTATAGATGCACTTTCTTAGTATAGGTATACTTGTTTATTCAAATACATCAATATTTATTTTTTATTTTTTATTTTGAGATGTTAGATATAACATTCAGAATGATTTTAATAAATTTTATCATTCTTAAAGAATGTTTTTTTCTAAATTTGAAGCCATATGTTTTAGAGAATCAAGCATGATTACTTATACTTCAAATACAATTGATTCTCAAACAATATAACATTTTGAATAGAATATAAATTTAGAGCTCATTTCAAGCAATATATAGTGGCTTCAAATATAAGAAGCTATCATTACATTTATTCAATCATATGTCATATATTCTCATGTAAAGACTAAAGGTAATTTGAGTTCTGTAAAATATACAAGATTCTCACAATTTTTGTAAATGAATACTTAAGATTTTTTTACCTTTCAAAAAAAATTATTAAATAAATCTATAATAGTAATAAAATATTTTAAAATGTTTAGTAAAGAAATAATTTTCTTTATGAATTATTTATTTAATTGAAATTTTAGATTTTCAATCCTAAAATTCTATTTTTTCTAACGGCTAAACTATTGCAAAAAATAAGTTATAATAAAAAACTAAGAACCAAATTATTAAATCATTAAATTTGGATTTAAATTTAGACTTAAAAAAAATAGAACTAATATAAATTTATTAAAATAAAATAAAATAAAATAATAATAATAATATTCAATATTAATTTTTATTTAAAATGCTTGTATAATTATTACATAAATATTGCAATATTATTTAAATTTTCAAAGATATATAATCCAATATTAATCTTTAGATAATATTGCAATTCAATTATTTCTATTTGATGTATTTATTATTATTATTATTTAATATGTGTATGACATGTTTACATAAATATTGACTCTATGGTCAAACCTCTCATATATTTGTAACTAAATTGTATCTACTTCATAACTTTGATTGATAATTGTAGAACTTAGATGATTTTTGAGATTGCTTCTATATTCTTGAAATAGCAAATATGCTAGTATTTTGAATTTTTTTTTAAAATTATTCCATTGTATATTTTAAAAGAACTATTAAATTCACTTTATTTTGGAACTTTGAATAGATTGAAAATTTACTTTTTAAATTTAAATACATGAAAAAAATTATTATTATTATTTTTTATTAATTTGTGAAAATTTATAGTTATTTTTCTCCATATAATTCAATTTTGTAAAAAATTGGTATTTAAAAAAAAATTAACATTTTACATGATAAGAAATAATAAATAATAAATAATAAATAATGGGATTATATTGATTGGATTTGAATAAACACAACTCAAGATGTTCAAATTGGATAATTACTTTGAATTAATTTTGATATAAATTACTTATAGCTGTTAAATTTTTTAAATTTGAAACTTTTTCTCAGATTTTCTTCATTAACCAGTTTTTTTATCTTTTAAAAATAATGTACGTCTAAATTTCTGTACTTTTTGTTTATTTAGTTCATAAATAATTATAATTTTTTGATTAAAATAAAATTTTCGTTTTTTATTTTTTAAAAGAATAGACTAATTATTTATTTATAGCATAGATGTAAGTTGTATTTTACTTGACAATTTTATTTTTTATTTTTTTATTTTTTTTGTTTTGTTTGTTTCTTTTGTTTTGTGTGTTTTTTGCATTCACAGAAATATTTTTATTAGAATGTCTAGTGATATCTTATATTGCTTAATAGATCTCTCATCCAATCATATTTGTTGCTATCCATTAGTTGTACCATTTTCTAAGTATTGACTCATACTTTATGAAGCTTGTTCACATTACTTAGCTTGTGTCTTTAAAAGTGATATTACATGGCATCTTACAGTTTGGTTATATTATCTAATTCATAAATGTAAGAATGAAAAAAGTCCTCTTTTGCTATAATAGACTTATCTAACATAATAGAACATTCAAATTCACTCTAAATATATTTTAATAATTAAATCCAAAATCACATTTATGCAAATATCATGCAAAATAAAAGAGGTGAAATAAATTGAAACTTCAAGATGCAAAAGTGAGACATACCTACTATGCATTAAGTACAAAGTATAATTATGATTCTTATATACCATTATATTTAACCGTTTTCAAAACGAGCATTGTAACTTTCAAATCTCCATTCTGTTAGAGTGTGCGTAACTGTTGTTATTTTGAGAATGAAAGAGTAAAATTACAAAATAAGATAACACATTGAACCCATGATGCCCCTTGGTGGACACACACCATTTCATAATTTTACACAAACTGTGAATAGAATAAACCCAACCAGTAGTATGATTGTGAACAAAACTATCTACAAAAGTTCTACGACAATGCAGCGGGACCATGAGAACTGTTTAGTAATCTCACACGTAGGGAATTGAATTTTAAAAAGTCCAGCTTGTTGTCAGAATAACTTGGGCACTTCTTCTAAGATAATTCTTCAATCCATATGTGGAAGTGTATTGAGCTTATTCCAGTGAGTCGATCGTGCTGGGACCAAGTTGCGTTGTTGCTACGAGCCCCTGCAGCAACATAGTCTCCGAGCATTCTACTACCTTGAGCTGCTTTCAATTGTGTCCTGTACAGAGCGACAGGCTCAGAGAGGGCTTGCTCCAATGAATTGGATGGATCACTGAAAATTAGCAAGTCTCCATAAGCACATCATATATCAAACCCGCAGATGAAGGCGTTGCGAAACCCATCTTCGATCTTGTCTGCTGTGCTGATCCATGCTTGGTCGTTTGATCTAAACACAACCAAGTGAAAACCGTAAGATTGTGGTAAACTCCAAGTTTCTCCAGAACTTAAAATTCTGACAACTTCATCTTGAATTTGAGTAAGAGACTTCTAGATTCTAATGCGGTGCAAGGGAGAGTGCTTACTATTTCAAAAGTTTGCCCAACTGTGCATCTCGCTTCACACCAGATAGGGCCGCTCCTGCCCCCAAAATTCAGACTGCAATAAAACATGAATTGACACTAATATCAGAGTCCACGAAAATAATCAGCTAGCTCACGTTATCAGAGAAGTTGCGGACCTAAGTGGGATAACAATTAAATACCTGATGTGGGTACTGAAAAGCTTGAAAGTTTTGAGTTGTTGAACTCTGTCCACTTCAATAGGAAGAAATTTTTCAGGATATAGAATGTGGTTGAAGGTATCCACAATCACTTCTTGTTACATAATTTACATACAATATTGCTCAACCGACATACACATCAACTCGCCACAGAAATTCGTTTCTGTCCGACCACGAAATATTGTGGTTTTCGAATGTGACGGAAGATCCTCTTTCAAAGGAGGTAGCTGCAACCAGTGGTCGGGGAGTCTGATGGCCACACATTCTGGAAATGTTGTGAAAAAGTTCACGGGTCATTGGAAATGGCCGAAGGCGATGTTAAGCAGGCCCTCGAAACGAACGAGAATTGCTTTAACCGATGCAGAATCATTCTTAGTAATTCTTTCCAAGAAAAAACCATGTTTCATTCGGTGTCAGAATGTAAACTTGTTTATCGAAACAATTACCTGACGATTTAAACAGCAGTATTAGTATCTTACACGTCAACATCTGGAAAAGAGACATATCCCAGCCTGCATTTTGAAATCAACTTTCCTTTGGTGGACGTACTAGGGGATCAATCAAAGCTGACACTTACGAATGATCCAACAATGGCCAATAGAAGCAGCAGTTTGTGATTGGTATTTACCTACAAAGACTGGAGAAGTTAAGCAGCTAATCGGATTCCACCATGTCACTGTAGTTGAGACCTGATTGAACAGAAACTCTCCTTCGCACAGCGGTTCGGGAGTTGTTCTTGGAGTTGTTTGAGGCCAATATTGAGGCCAAAATAGTTGTATTCAAATACTGCTGAGGCCGCGATTCCGCAGATCCGCGACTCTCGGCCCAATGCATGAGGGGCCAAAGCAGGTCCACGCTCATTTTGTGTGGTCGGAAGTTTTTCCAACTATTGTTGAAGGACGCTTGAGTTCGCAACGTTGTGGTTAGTGAGTGCCTACCCATCTTGCTTTGCCTCAATTCGGGGGCTACATTCAACATCCAACCATGGTTTCCCACATGATCATGCATTTGTTGGCCACCTGCAAACACTGCCCAGCAGTATAATCCAATTTGTATTCTTCCTTTCTGGGTGGAGATGAATGAATTTTAATAGCAATGTACTCCATTAAGAAATTGCATGAAACTATCGTCACAAACTGAAGGCAGATTGTTGCCTTCATAATATGACAAATGATGCCACAACTCATGATGGAAGATGCAAAACTTGAACAAAGAATCAAGCAAGATCTACGATCCATAAGGACAGAAACTCACTTCTGGGCGTAAGAGGCCGCTGGTCATAAAGAAACTCAGTCCTCGGGGTGAGGGACCCTTGATGGTGTAGCTGAGACACGTTGATTCGATTGTCTTCGTTCAGCCATTTGTGAACAGTTGGTTTGCGTAAGGGATTGTTAACGTAACCAATGTCACCAGACCCAAGAACTAGCCCGCGCAGGTTGCATAGGCTCGGGGATTGCTTCGGCGGAGACGTTCGAATGGGGAATTGTATTGGCTGATCCATGGAGTCACAAGTACTAAGTGAGGATAGGTGATCACTTTCGTGGAAGCTAAATTCTCCGTCACTCGATTCTCCGCCGAGTTCGAACGATGAGGATGACATGGACGACGCGAGACGGTGAGAAACATTTGAGCCCATGGATGCTTTGGATTGGTGACCAGCTTGTGTCGATTCCTTTGGTGTAGTAGGTGCCATGGGTGGAAGCATGTTGCTCGTTGCAAAGGAGCGAATGGTTTCTACCTCTCCGCTGCTAGAAAGCCGGGAGACGAAACAGCTCAGGTTGTCGATGAAGTATTTCCTGTCCTTCTTCATGTGCCTGCACGGGATTATTTTTTATACAAACGAAATCAGATTGAGAAAATTCATTCAGGACAACGCAGCTATGGTAAAGCTCCGGGTTGTTTTGGAGAATGGAGATTTCAACATCAAGCAATAGAAGCAAAACCGTCGCTCACTTCTCCAGTATGACATGGAGGGCGCCTATAGACTTGGCCTCATCGACAGCAATCACTTTAGGATTGTTTCCGACTTTCACATCGATGTCCAACTTCACCTGCATTCATTTACGCTACCCATGTTACTTTATCAAACTTAGAATACGAAAAGAATAAGATTAAGAACTGCAATCGTAGAAAAAAAAGCCCAGTCAAAGGTCCTGGACAACGTGGCTCTTCAATCCAAACTAATCAGATAAGTATGAACAGGCTTCATACCCCTGATCTCAGGCACCAATCTTTCATGTGCGAGGTCCTCCAGATGAGCTCCTTCTTGGTGGCGATCTCGAACTGGAGCCCCATGACATTCAATGCAGTTCTAGACGATTGATCAACGCGAACCATGAACCCCACTGCCACATTTCAAAAAAAATGTGGTTAATGACATTCCTGAAGCGCTGAAATCCTGAACATACCGGCCTGTGCTAAGTTCGAGGATAGCCAAAAGACTCACTCTTACATTTTTTTAATGAAAGGCGACAATTTCAAATACGAGGCTCGTGCTGTTGCTAACATACATCCTCACAAGTGTGCTGCATTTGACCTTTAGTCCTAGATTGTTCTGCTGGTGGCTTGAATGCTACTAGTGGACTGGGTTATATGTGCTCGGGGAATACAGCTGGTTCAAACACTAGGCCACTGTAGTCACGGGTCGACTCAAATAGTTCACACAGATCTTAGTGGGACTGGGTCCCTAATTCTGGTTTCTTCTGCTTGTATTAAGCTTCCAAAAATCCCTCCAAACGGAAGACATTTCCAGAATTACAGGTTTATGTTTTAGGCCACCGCCAGCGTTGTGATCAAAGTTCGGTATTGACACAAACATAAATCTAAAAAGCTCAGTGTTCGTGACTGAACTTAACCATGAACACTGTTTGCAAGCGTGCGCTCTATTGATTGACAAGTCTGTTCCACGTCCATCAAGTGCTAATACCACCTAACAACTGCCGTTGTTTTAATTATTTGCTATACCCTCAGAAAGAATTTGGCTACAATGAATCGCATCCTGTGTAGCCATGTAGGTAGTGCGAGAACTTACTGTTGTTCGCGACGTAAGTGATGATTCCTAGAATTTTTACGCTGTCGCCTCTTCGAACCACATTCGCAAGCGCCCAGTAAATAGCAGCAGGAGATATGGCCTTATTTGCATCCAGGACGACAAGGACAGATCCCTGCTGAATCCCATTGGGCCTCGGTGCTGTGGGCTCGCCGATGACCCTTAGCCCCAAGCTTTGCAAATGAATTAAACTCTCCAGGGATGCCATGCTGAGGTGCCAATCCTCAAAAAACTAAAAGTGTGATCAGAAAATAGAATTTCTGTTCACCCCTGTGTTCTAGTCTCCTTCAGCATTACACCATGGCAACGACTATACAGCCTATACTGGTCGATCAACTACGAACATGATACTCTACACATTCTCGGAAAGCTCGCACCCCATGGAGGAGGGAGTTGGCATGGTTGTCAGATTACGTTCACAATTGTTCCTGCCTGTTCCTGCGGTGTAACAATCAAGAAGCTCTAAGGAAAATCTCAGCATCTGCCGATTGCCTGAAGAGTACGAGCAAAAGCTGCGCATCGGATTCCTGATAAACCTCTCGACCGCAAGACAGTTTGAGGACCCCTCTTCTTGATCGATGAACAAAGTGTGAGACACTAGTGATACCTCTTCTAAATTCACATAGACTTATCAAACTTCTAACAACCGGTCAAATTCAATGCAACATCCAGCATTATAATTTAAGCCTAAACTTCCGAAGTATTTCATACCCTTTCTTCCCCCTCAACTACGAACCCCGAATCCCGTCAAGGAAAGTCCCGCGCGAAGGGAAGAAGATGCAGCAAGTTTGAAGACTCAACAAGGAAAATTAAAGACTCCCAAACGACGACAAAAGCAGGCGAATCAATCATATGACCAGCATCCTGAGTCCACCAAGACTGCACCTCACCAATAACCCCGTCATGAATGTGTAGGAGTCGCATTTCACCAGATGTGTCCTGAGATGAAATACGACAAAACTTATCCTTTAGCGGTAAGCGGAGAGCTCCTCTAAAAACAACACCACAACACCCCTCCTCCCTCGCTTTTCTATAAAAGAAATATTAATTAGAAAGCAAATATTAATTAGAAAGTAAATGTCGATAAACCACAACATTCCAAAAGAGGTCCCACGATATTCTGAACTGGACACCGTTTTAGAAAGTAAATAAAGAGGCTCCAAGTAATCTGGACCCACGGGGGATGCCGAGCAGGAGCATGGTCACACGAGATCGTTACCGAGTTCCAACCCATATCACATTATTTCGAAATTTAGGAAGGGAGTTTCCCCAAGAGCCAAACCAACGCACAACAGGATCTCCCAACACGAGGCGTGTGACGCTGCGGCACGGGAGCTCTAGAGCACGCGTAGAGGAATACGGGGCATCCCGCGCGGGGGGGGGGGATCTCTGGTTTCAGAGATTCAGGTGAACACAGATTGCGCCTACGGAAACCCACGCCCAGTGCTAGAGCTGGTGCTGGTAAAGAAGCAATTAAGCAGCAGTTGGAGGAATGAGGCGCCGAGCGAGCGAGCGAGCGGGGCTTCGATCGGAGCGCTGCTCAAACGCGGCCTCGTGCTGCTGCTCCATCGCCAACTGCACGCCAGCTTGCCGAACCACCACGCCGACTGAACTTTCCGTCCAGTCGTCGTCAATCACCAGGTTTCGTTCGTTACATTGTCGTCTTCGTCAGGTCTTGTGAGGAGTGAGGATAATAAACTAGTGAGTTGCGAGAATTGACTATCACGTATCTCTTTTTATGTTGTACAAATACCATGGAATTACGGTTTTTGTCTCATGAGGCGTTGTTTGGTTGAGCATGGCAATAAAACACCAAGGAAGAGTATTTAGTAATTTTGCAGTTTTTCTATGTGTTGTTTATTTGGATTTTAGTTGTTGATTTATATGCATGATTAGGTCTTTATTATGGTGTATACGGTAGTGATTTTGTACAAAAATGCTAGCTATGTAGTAAAAAAAATTAGAATACAAAATAAATAAATCATGTTATATGTGTAATGTTATATATATATATATATATATATATATAATTTAGAAGCATGAATTTTGAGTTTTCTTTTTCTTTTGGCTTTAGAAGCCACTTATAAGGCTATTAATATATTGAAATGTAGTTTTCTAATTATTTAAAATATATGTACTTAAAAAATTATGCAATTATTTTTTTTCTTCTTGTGCAATAATTTTTTGAATAAAAATGGGAAATTTGGTATGTTTTATTTAATAATATATTATTTTATTATCATGGTCTAATATATAAAGTTATCTAAAAAAAGTTGATAAATAAATAATTAGATAATTTTTAAAAATATAGATTAAAAAGGCTTTAATATAATAGAATGTGATATAATAGTTGAGTAGGAATCCAAAATATAAACATGCTATAAATTTAAAAATTAAAGATGTAAACTTGGTTTAATTATTTTTAAAGTATAAATTTATTCTCCAATTTTTAAAAATACAATAAAATATTTGAACACAAGACTACTTCACAAAAAGAAAATCCACAATAAATAAGTAAATAAATATATAACTTTTTTGTATTATATATATATATATATATATATATATATATATATATATATAAAATACAAATAAATTATTTTTGACGGGGATAAATAGCATTACAATACAATAAAAATTACATGCAACATGATTGAATATCTGTATGTGTATATATATATATATATATATATATATATAATAGCAACTTTTAAAATAAATTTATATATATATATATATATATATATATATATCTATATACACACATATACATAATAGCATGTGTATATTTATATAATTTTAGAATGAATAGATATAATTAATCTATTGTTATAAATTCTATTGCTAAATAAAAAAATTGTGTCAAAACAATAATGATTAATTTTCCAGAAATCCTATTATGCTTTCCAATTATATTTCAATCCTTCAAGATCTTTATTATATGTCAATATATATATAGTATAATAATTTTAATAGAAGATTATTTATGAATAAAAAATTAAGTATTAGTTCTTTCTAGAAAAAAATTATTGGAAGTTTTCTTTTTCAACAAATTCATATACAAGGTTGTTATACAAGGTTATATTTTGTTGAAAAATTATTGGAAATTTCTTTAAAAAATTATTGAAAATTCATGCTTCTAAATTAGATATATATATATATATATACATATATATAACATTACACATATAACATGATTTATTTATTTTGTATTCTAATTTAAGTTGCTTAATGTGCACAATAAGCAACTTAAATTAGAATACAAAATATAACCTTGTATAAGTTAAGTTGATTTTCATCTTGATTTTGATTTTGTTCTTTTTTGTTTTTTGTCCTTTTCTTAAATTCAACCCGAACAGCAAGAAGAATAATATTTGGCAATATCTCATGATAGAAGTTATCAGTGGCAATGAATAGAAGCCTTATATTTAGAATTCAGCCAGAGAATGCAACATGGTGGAAGTTGAAAGGAAACTTGCTATCCAATGACAAAAATAAAGCCTTGTTACAACCACAGCATAATCTCCAAACTTCATCTCAGAGATTCTCGACTGCCAAATGATAAGAAAACACCACCAGTGAGAAAATCGACTTGCAACCATTTGGTCACTTGGATTCTTCAAAAATTCTTTCCTTCCTCTTTTGAAGCCCCCGAATATCCTTGATTAGAAAATTCTTCATCTTCTTTACCTTAATAACCTAGATTGGAAGCTACTTCCTTCCTCTGCTGCCTCGTTACAACCATGATTCGAAATGTGAACAATAGAAGGAGAATGAAACATCCATTGGATTCTGCCAGTGTGCAGAAACAACAGCTTTCAGAGTCAAAGGGACTGAATGCACTTCTACAGAATCTTATCTTCATGAAGAGCTCCGCGGTCAAATTCCTGGTTCTAAGAAAAGGTGCAACGATGCACCACCAGTTGGCAACTTGCTCGAAGATATTCTCATGAACTCAAGTTCAGTTGAATCATCCCGGTTGCTATTCAAGGTCTTCATTTCTCTCAGATAAGAGTTCACTCCGACGAGCGCAATACTTTATATGAGATATATGTGTTATTCCAAATCGTGCAGACTGAGGTTTAAAATAGATGATGATGAAGACAAGGCATAAGGGGGGGGGGGGGGGGGAGTGTGCAAGTTAAGCTGGTTGATAGCATTGTGAAAAGCATTTTGTGAGATAGTTTCTAAATTTGAATGCCGAATCAAACACAAACGGGAAACTCTATGCATGTATTCCAAGGTCCAGAATTAGATGTGGTGAGCATGTGCCCGGATGAGTCGGTTTGTGGTAGTGATTCCAGTGTCTCAGAGATTACCGTCTCACAAAATTGGCATAGATTGAGACTCAGGCACAGTGAATGCGAGTTCTAGTACCGCATGAGACGGATTGTCTCGTCCTATCAGGACCAACGAGATATAAAGTTTCTTTTCAATACTTTATTACTTTATGCTACGAAGCAAAAAAAAACACCACATTCCAGATACCAACGAGACTATTCGTGAAGAAGCTTGATTGGCACCAGTCTAGACAGCTGGATATCTATCAGTTAATGGCAGTTGATCTGACATCGCATGACACCTCGAACTCCATCATCTGCATAAGTCCACCACCATCAACTGCAACGCAACCATGGAAACCGTCCATGATCTACCCCGTCTTTCCGTTGAAAGATCCAGCTCGGTCTACAGCTTCACTATCCGCATGTCAGCAACTTAGATACGATAGAATCTATAATGACTCAGTTGCTGCGTCGACGACCCTCTTTATTGGATGTAAGTGATGGGCTTACGCACATTCGCTTCACCCAGAAACGTCAGTCTACACATTCACATGTCAATGTACCACTCTCGTGACTCAGTAACTCTCTGGTGTTCAGACTTCGATTCCATGAGCTCACGTTGAGCGAGTGAAAAGAGCATTGACACGAAGATGCTGTCGTTTAGACATGGAGTGGTTGAGTGATTGGTTCAGATACACAGCCAGAATAAGTCCTTATAGAGAGGATCTCGGACAGGTTTCACTGTACATACGAAGCCTGCCGCATGGTTAGGTGTGTAAATATACCCAAGTTTCAACCTCACACTGGTTGCGGCGACCCATACAGAGAGAGGTACACCAATACTGTCCGCTCTGTAACAAGTAATAGGGCGTAAGATGGGTTGTAACAATTAAACTTAACTTAACCTAATGCAACAAGTACACCTCATATAAGTGTGTATAAGATTGATATCCACCAACTCAAGGTTTTTTGTTTTGTTTTTTGTTATTTTGATATTATACAAGATTTATCTATTGCATCAATTAGGTGATGGATTGTATAAAGTAAAGTTGTTTATGTCCTTACACCCACAATAATATAGATGTGAGTGCAAAATAGGAAAAAAATTGTTATTATTTAAGTTGGGTTTTTTTTATGTGTTTGCAGGTTATGAGTCCATCTTGTGGAATTCTTAAATTTTACTTAATAGTGATGTCAATTCTAATACATAGAATGTTTTTTCGTTATCCTATGATTTGTTCTATTTCATGATAAAAGTCTTATAAATTTATTATTATGATTATTATTTTTTATATGACCTATAAAAATAATTATATCCAATTGAATCAATCCAAATCAATTTCATAATATAAAGGTAACTCCATTCTTCATTTTCAAGAAAAAAAAAATGTTCTTTTAGATTTATATAATCCATATATACGAGCCTCTCAATAAAATCCAAATATTACTAATACTCTTAAATTTAAAAGAAAGAATACAAGCACATATTATTATTTTTTAAGAAAAAAAATTATTTATTTATTTTTTGAGATTTGAGATTTTTTTATTGTAAGAAAATAAAAACAAAGTGTCAAATTCCTTAAGTATGTGTGCACTTTCAAAATCTGTGTATAATAATTAAAATATATTAAAAAAAATCAATGATAAAATGTATCTAAAATCCAAAATAAAATTGATATAATATACTATAATAAGAAGATATTTAAAAATTGATTCAAAACTTAAAAAAATAAGTATATATCTATATATATAAGTATACATATTTTTTATTATATATAGTTTTATATTTAAAATTTTTAGTATTGAAAATAAAAATAAAAATAAATTCAGTACTTTTTGTATTATAATAAATAAATAAATAAATAAATATTATTATTTTGAAGCAAAAAAAGCTTTGTAGAAAATACTTTTACGACTATAGCCGTGTATAATACATTAAAGATATATTGCAGCTCCATCTATTTGCAAACAAGAAGGTCTAAAGATTTGTCTAGTTAAACAAAGCATTGACAATTTAAATTGCTTATTTTCTTTCATGTAAATAAATCAGACCAAGCTTATGATAAAATCACTATAGTTTTAAGAATTTTTAACTAGTAAAAAGAATATCATAAGAAATAATGATAAAAATATAGACAAGCATTTTTATCCAAAAGTATATGATAGATATAGACGTAATAATGTCAATTGTTCAACAAAAAAAGTTAGCAAAAGCTTTAAGCATCAATTTAACATTGTTGTTTAAAGTTTGAATTTTAGCAAGATAAACCATAATTTTTAGT